AAAAAAAGCTTCCTTTAATGAAACTACGTCTTGGTTTTTTTTTTTTGAATGTTAAGGTATTAAAAAAAAATTGCACAGGTAACCCGTGCGCTATTTTGTTTTTTTTTTACTTCCAGTTTTGAAAAAAAAACGTCACTTATTTTGCTTTTATTTGTTAATTTTTTTTTCTGTTTTTATTATGGTAAAAAAAAGGTGACTGGGTAGGGAATAGGGCAAAAAGTTTTTTTGGCTTTGCCCACCAGATAAAAAAAATCATCACTCAATACACCTCACTGCAAAAATTTTTTTAAAAGCAGTGAATTGAAAAAAAAATCCTATATTGTCAGGATCTATTTGCATAAATTTTTTTCTGTATAATTGTTACTTAAAAAAATTAATTTTCCGTTTTCCACATGAGCGACTATTTTTTTAATGATAATATAATATAAAAAAAATTTATGCGCTTATATAGCCTTCAAAAAGTATTTTTTTATGAGAAGGTTTGGTTAAAAAAAAAAGAGCAGCTTTTTACACTCATCCTGAAATTTTTTTTATGAAGATGGAAGAACAAAAAAAACAACACCTAATGAACGAAAACCATTAGAGATTTTTTTACTTRGAAGACAGTAACAAAAAAAACGACGAACGAAGAGAACGAGGGGGACGATTTTTTTTTAATTTAATTTCTTTTAAAAAAAAGAAATTTTTAACATATTTTCTTGATTAATGTTTTTTTTTCCTCCTACAACCGAGAAAAAAACACGCAACTGAATTTAAAACAAAACAGTCATTTTTTTGAATAACTTATCGAGTCAAAAAAAATTTTTTTCATAATTACAKGTATCTGACATTTTTTTTCTRATCATATTCAAYTCAAAAAAATCAAACTGAATAAGATGTCGTGTCGGGTTATTTTTTTAAATGATGTAAACGTTGAAAAAAACTGTTGGTTTGCTGGGACTTCTGGCGCTTGAAACTATCTTTCATTTTATCCAACGTGACGTCACACTATCGTAAAGCCGTGCCCTTTGATGCTATTTCCCATGTACTGTATGTAATAAGGAAATTGAGACTCGCTGAAGGTCAGCTTAGATCTTTTTTTTTAATTCTTCAACGATTAAAAAAATGCCATGGTTTACAGAGCACTAAATAAGMTTTTTTTTGAAAAAAATATCAGRCTAAAAAAATYGTGCCGAAACCTCCAAARTGGCTGCCAATTTTTTTAATCCAAGATGGCGGCCAAAAAAAAGAATACACGAGCACTTCAATGAAACTCATTTTTTTTCGGAATTAAATTTTCTAAAAAAAACCTTTTCATCTCTGACAGTTTTGATCTGATTTTTTTTTTTTTTTTTTGATCTGAAAAAAAAGACCCGCGAAAAACATGATAATGAAATAGTTTTTTTTAGAGAAAATGACGAATGAAAAAAAACAATGGACTTAGAGGCCAATTTACAGTCCTTTGTCAGCGTTTGGAAAGGAGAGACAAGTACTTGACGGCTAGGCTACTGGACCTTTTATCTTTTTTTCTTCAAAGAAATGATTTAAAAAAAGTATAAAGAGTATATAGCTATGTTAAATGATTTTTTTGAGAGAATTTATAATTGAAAAAAAATTTTCAAACGAATACCACACAATTCAATTTTTTTTTCCTATTTATTTTGATAAAAAAAAATCCACACTAAATAATTCCTAATGGTGCAACTTTTTTTATTAAGAAATATGCTGTAAAAAAATGATGCGCTAAAATACTGAGAGTGGCCATATTTTTTTACTACCCTCCTCCGTAGAAAAAAATCTATATAAAGTATTAAGAGACTTTGGTATTTTTTTTGCCAGACAACCCCAGAAAAAAAAAGAGAGAGATGCCTGAGGAGGAGGTCAGTCCTTTTTTTTCAGCATAATGTGGCAGAAAAAAATAGCGGTTCAATTATCTTGTGCGCGGGAAATTTTTTTTGCTACATAATGACCGAAAAAAAATTACATTATTAAAACAATAGATATATATCTTTTTTTTAATTAAAAATACCACGCAAAAAAAAAAAATATTCAACTTATGTTATAAAAATTTTTTTTTTAAATATTGCTGAATGATAAAAAAAAAAAGCAAGGTCTAGCTAATGAATAAAATTGGTGGAATAATATAGTTCTTGTTTGAGCTAAGAATGACTAAATATAACTTTTTAATTTTTTTTTTTTTAACTAATTCCACTTCATAAAAAAATCGGGTAAAATACGCGCGCGCGTACCAATTTTTTTTTCTATTAATTCAGTTGCTAAAAAAAGCTCATGTACGATTTGCTTGTTCTTAGATATTTTTTTGTGTAAACTTATGGCAAAAAAAAAGCAGCAGAAATATCAAGACTGGAGCTATGATTTTTTTCTGGTCCAAGAGGCATAAAAAAAATAGATAAATTAAAAACCTCTTGGACCACATTTTTTTTTGTTTGTTGCGAATTATAAAAAAATTTTTATTTCTTGCAATATTTTCTATAATGCCTGACGTCGTTGCATCGGCCGAGATCAAGATGCAAGATGACCATAATTATGTGCATAAAATTTTTTTCTGAGAAGGCAGTGCAGAAAAAAATACCAGAAAATTGCACTTCCAGCGCAAGGGTTTTTTTCAGCCTGGACCAAATGCAAAAAAATGACTTCGCGCAGACTTGAGCCTACAATTTTTTTTTTCAGCGATCGTTTTCACTAAAAAAATAACGACACAAGCCCAAAAGCAGGAAGCCTCATGTAATCCACAAACTTTATTCGACCAATTTTCCCCGCCCTGAGACTGATTCAAGATGGCTTTTTTTAAAGAAAAGGTTTGCCCAAAAAAACGTCTMATTTTCAATCCACAATAAACCCTTTTTTTTTCGTCTGCACCGCTAGTGAAAAAAAGGCTCAATGCATAAAAACGGGAATAAATTATTTTTTTATATATTACCAAATACAAAAAAAAAAATGTCCTAATTGATAAAATTCTAAAACGTTTTTTTTGCAATATCATCACATAAAAAAAATTCAAAAAAGGTTGTCGGATAAAATKGCGATTTTTTTCTGTCAAAAGGCGATTGAAAAAAAGAAAGAAGCCATGGTTTTTTGCTAATGGAGTTTTTTTTTTCTATGGTCATCATTAAAAAAATTTAGTCTCCATTTTCATGCAAGTAAACCCAACAATTGAATTTTTTGTATGTCAAACAATGTAACCATAGTCCCGCTTTCGGTCGTGCATTTTTTTTTTGACAATCGCCGTTCTCAAAAAAAACGTTTTTTGAAATAAGTGTATAACCATTGTTTTTTTCGTTACCACTTTAAGGCAAAAAAAGTACAGTGGAACCCCTGCAATACGAACACCTTTTTTTTACGGACTTATTACACAAAAAAAATATAACACTGAAACCTCTATATTCCGGGCATTTTTTTGTCCGATGTTCGTCAAAAAAAAAACCCATTGTACCAGGCAAAGCAAGTGCTATTTGTCCATAATGTGCTACAGCAACCTTACAGCTAATGAGTGCGGTGAACTTGTGGCCATGGTTTTTTTTCAATGATCATGATCAACAAAAAAATTGCAATTGCAATATGGGTTCATATCCTGCTTTTTTTAAAGAAAGGTGAAAGTGAAAAAAACGGTGAGTTTCATCATGGACATTAAAATCCTTTTTTTGCAGCATATGAATGTTTAAAAAAATTTACAGCTATTTTACTTTAATGCTTGTAATTTTTTTCGCATGCTCTAATACGAAAAAAAAGCATTTCCGACAGGGCTCTTTTTTTAAATGTTTTTTTATTTTTACACTAATCGAAAAAAAATTGATTTTAATGACTACTACTAATTACTCATTTTTTTTAAAACTCTAGCAAGATAAAAAAATATTTTATTATTAAAACCCCCGCCAATAACTTTTTTTCCCTCGAACTTTTGTTGAAAAAAATGTTGTTGTTGTTTTTGTCAACTTTCATAATTTTTTTTATTCAAATATACCCCCAAAAAAATTTCAAAACCCCGAAAAACCTCCAGTGTTGTTTTTTTTTTCAAACGACACTTGAAAAAAAATGGCTAAGGCAATATTGGACGTGGGAAGGATTTTTTTATAGAGGAACTCTTCGTAAAAAAATGTTGGGGTGTCAAGCTAGTTTGACAGCGATTTTTTTCTATTAATAATGGATATAAAAAAATATTAGTTCTGTTATTTTAATTGATCAATTTTTTTTTATGTTCAACATAAACAAAAAAAAATTAAAATAAATTAAGAACTAGAGATTACTATTTTTTTTAACTACTGCATATCTCAAAAAAAGTTTTATCTTTATTAATTTATAAGTTTATTTTTTTTTATTATTGAATGGAAATCAAAAAAATTCCATTTTCTTGATGTTTCAAATTTTCGTTTTTTTTTAATGTTTTCACTGAGAAAAAAAAAGGACGGGTAAGATCACTGTTTAATTGTATTTACGTTTCAATATATCATTTTTCCTGATATTAGAAATATCCTTCTGATAACAGAATTATTATAGTTTATAAAAAAAATCCATCAAAAAAAATATGTCTCATATCAATATTGAGTCTCGATATTTTTTTAATGCATACTTTATGGAAAAAAAAATATTACGTGAAGTGGCAGATATCTCGGCGTTTTTTTTATATCGTTCATCCACGAAAAAAAATGAAAACGATCTTATTTTAAAAATGCTGGCATCTTTAATACCACTCATAGTTATTTATAGTTCTTGTTTATTTTTGTAAAGAATCAAGTGTTTTTTTCTTCTATATACACTATCAAAAAAATGCTTCATTATAGTTAAACCAAAGATTCTGTTTTTTTTTTTGGGCGTGGTACTGAAAAAAAGTCATCAGTCCGTGCTGCCACCTTACCTTCTTTTTTTGTTATTTCAACAGGCGTAAAAAAACGCTCCTCAAGTTTAATACCGTCGACGTCATTTTTTTGCCTGCCATTGATTGGATGAAAAGCACCTTCGTTTTGGTTGAGGTGATTCCAGTTTTTTTTCTCTACCCAGTATTGCTAAAAAAAACTTCTGGTTATGTAGATGAGTAGAAAGGCTTTTTTTTACAAAGCGATCGATGAAAAAAAATGCCAAATATCATGGTAATCAAAGAAATCCTTTTTTTCGCATTCATCGTTAAAGAAAAAAAAGACGCTTGGCAACGCCACTTTCCTGGCTGTTTTTTTGAGCTTGAAGAAATACATGGCGAACACCCAGAATAAGAACAGCACTATTATGAATTTTTTTCGATGTGTRTTCCTTAAAAAAAAAAAACACCAGGATTTCACGTCACAGATTGATTTTTTTTCATTCATTTTCTGGTAAAAAAAAATGAGCCTTCTGAACGAAGCCACGAGGTTGATTTTTTTCAGTCCAGCAATTGTGAAAAAAAATGCAGCCACGCATGAAAACAGGAAGAATTGTTTTTTTTCTTCGAGTTTTTTCATAAAAAAAATGAAGAGGCAGACTGGAACTAATATTAACTTTTTTTACTTGATTCGCTCTTCCAAAAAAAAACATCCACACTTTTCAGTCAGACTGTCACTTTTTTTRCAGCCAATTCCAACTTAAAAAAAAGCCCAGATATATACAATAATCAGCCATATCACTAAAGCTACCCAATATAGGCCTTCAACAAAGGGAGGCAATCCTGAGGTATCTCGGATTGATCCTACGTAATTTAAGACCAATAACGGGGCGACGAAGAAAAGGAAATACTTGGGTGCTTTTTTTTTAGTCTTATCTGGTGGTTAAAAAAAATCGGCGCAACTTTTGATCATTCCAATGCGTTTTTTTAAAAGCGCAACAACTACAAAAAAAGATATGACGAACATGAATGCTGAGTCGAACTGGAAGGTGAGTCTTGAGGGGCAGAGATGGTACGTGGCTGAGAACAGGCCTTCAAAGAGCATTTTTTTTGACAGGGCATATGCTAAAAAAAAATCGTATGGAACTGCAAGGTTGTTACTTGTTTTTTTTCTTCCCGACGTCCTGCGAAAAAAAAAACATATGGCTTCACGGAACGAAAAGGCATTTTTTTGAAAGACTCCATGGAGAAAAAAAAGCACGTTGCTCACCATGAAATTGGAAGGCATTTTTTTAAAAGCTATTGGTCGATAAAAAAATTCGTTGTAGTAACACTTATCTCGGTCTCCTTTTTTTACCATATTCGACCACCTAAAAAAAACAAACTGAGCTGAGCCCACCAGAAAACTCTTTTTTTTTAAAACTGTTAGATACAAAAAAATCTTTGCACCACGTCCAAACCAATGAACACTTTTTTTCTCCGCCCAAGTACGGAAAAAAAACATTTTACAAGGGATCGGTTCTGGGACCAATTTTTTTATACTTTTTGTTGGGTAAAAAAAACGCTTAGAAAGCTTGCTACCACTCTCTTCGTTTTTTTGTTCATTTTCATCCATGAAAAAAAGAGGAGACATTTGGTCAAAATCAGAGTTCATTTTTTTATGTGCAAAAATGGCTAAAAAAAACCCTAGAAGACCGGTWATGAGGCACATATATTTTTTTGGCAAACCCTTTCCCAAAAAAAAATAGCTRTAAGTCTGCAACACACTAATGTTCTTTTTTTTTGTTGCAATGCTACCAAAAAAAACATTCTTACTAACAACYCCTATGTACCAACTTTTTTTCTGAATCTTGGGTAAGGAAAAAAAGGAGATGGTGATACGTCCATACCTTGTAAATTTTTTTTATATGGACTGTTTTCCAAAAAAATGCGATGTCATCCCAACACCTTGGGCTTGGTTTTTTTCACAACTTTGTGACACAAAAAAAATTGCCAACATGTCATCATTAGACTCCACCGTTTTTTTGTGAAGTTTGAACAAGTAAAAAAACTGGATATCAAACGCGATTACTTGTGCCAAGCCATTTTTCTGTACTTGGATGGATTTTTGGTCTCCTCGGTGTGCATCGAGTGAACCGTTATCAAGAGAAACGTGAAGCTTAAAAGTGGCATTTTCTGGGGTACCAAATAGTAAGACTTGAATTTTTTTAGCTTTGGAGTTTTCCTAAAAAAAGGGACAAGCGTGGAAATGATATCCAGTCCCTTTTTTTATATCTCGGTAATTAACAAAAAAAACAAAGGTGACATGTTGCTCCTCAAGAACTTTTTTTTACATGCTACTAATATTAAAAAAAAGCTTGGATATAAATACCCTAATAATACCCCTTTTTTTGTGGGATACTTTGCAGCAAAAAAAATTGCCAAAGTGTGAAGTTAGTTCCCCAATTTTTTTTGATGAATAGCTAGTTGTAAAAAAAGTATTACCAAAGTCACAATTCACATGAAAGTTTTTTTTAGTTGCAATTGTGAATAAAAAAATTGTTTCAGCAAGAAATACTACGACCACCATTTTTTTGTGCTTGACTTCCATCCAAAAAAAACAAAAACAGAAAAATACATGAAGTGAATAATTGAATGGATGGATGACATAATATGAAATGAATGAATGAAAATAGACAGAAAGAATGGGCTTTTTTTAAAGAAAAATAAAGTAAAAAAAAAATGAAAGAAAGGAAGGTAAGAGAAAATAAATTTTTTTTTGGAACAACAAGATAAAAAAAAACGAGCTAAAGATAGATCAATTTAAATGAAATTTTTTTGGTAGAATTTTAAGGAAAAAAAAAAAGAAGGGGAAAAAATCTATTCAGAACAAATTTTTTTAAGCTTTTTACATTGTAAAAAAAAAGAGATGATTCCACAAATTTTATTAGTCCATTTTTTTCTTCTCATCTTTAGGGCAAAAAAAGCCCAACACTACAACAGACACTGAAAGAGATTTTTTTCTTATGCACAGTTGTGTAAAAAAAAGAAGGAAACCATTCAGTGACAACATTCAGTTAATCATCACCTTGAGAACAACTTAACATTATGGTGTGTTTGAATCACACTTGAAGCTTGTTTTTTTTGTTTCTGAGCTCCTTAAAAAAAATTCTTGCATATGTTTTTTTCTATTCAATATTTTTTTTTTAACAAAAATGCATGAAAAAAAAACAAATATTATACAAATCATCATCACCAAGTTTTTTTTTATCATAATTATATTTAAAAAAAAAATGAAATACCTATAGTTTTTCACTTTTGTTTTTTTAGTATTTTCAATACTGAAAAAAAAACATTCATATTTGTACCTCTATGTATTGGATTTTTTTAAAAGTTATTTCAAAACAAAAAAAATTATATGATAAACAGGATATTACATGGTCTTTTTTTAATAAGAATTTATCTTCAAAAAAACGAAAAATCTCTGACGTATGAGCATTGCCATTTTTTTTCCATGTCATATCCTGTAAAAAAAGGAATCTAAGATTATTAACTGCCTTTGATATTTTTTTATTGACATCAATGTTTTAAAAAAAAATATCTGTRATTACTCCAAAATCCCACCAAGCCCTGTCTCTAAACTTTGACATACATCAGAAAGCATGTTCAAGAGCCAATCAAGATACCTTTTTTTTATTCCCCATAGAGAACAAAAAAAGTACATATGAACATACTGTATGTGCCACTTTTTTTTTACACAAGTTCTTGGTTAAAAAAAAGAACTTGTAATATCATGGTTAACATAACCAGAAATACCACAACAAGTTTTATATTGAGAAACACAAAAAAATCAAAACTATGACTCATTCTTTTTTTTTAGTAATATATATGAGGAAAAAAAATGCCAATTTCCCTCTAGAACTAACAAATTTTTTTTTCCTGCCTAGTAATATTAAAAAAAAAATTATATTGATTGTAGCTTTAATTAAATGTTTTTTTGCATAAAATGTCATATAAAAAAAAATTCAAGAACAATAACGTAATCCAATATTCTTTTTTTATATATACACTGTACAAAAAAAAATTTTTCAGTATGTTTGGTATTGTAATACACTTTTTTTAAAGCCATAAAATTCAGAAAAAAAAATTTACAGACAAACTTGTTTGGTTTTTACTTTTTTTTGCCATTTGAATGTCAAAAAAAAAAAGGATTTTGAACACATTGTCTCCACGTTGTGGTCAACTGCCTTTGTAAAAACATTTATATTATTTGAGAGGATTGTATTTTGATGCAAATTTTTTTTGCTTTTTTATGTCAGACAAAAAAAGTTCTAACAATACAATACCCCCAAGAAATATTTTTTTTAAATAGCTAAATAGCTAAAAAAAATTCAGTTAATTAAAATGAAACTTACAAAGTTTTTTTGTTACGGGAAGCACATGAAAAAAAACGTTTGACAAGAATTTCAAAGATTGGACCTATTGCTGCTTCCGAGGTCTTTATATTCAAAAACACTCATACAAACGCCATAATAGGACTTTTTTTTTATCTACCATCGTAAAGCAAAAAAAACATAGCTCGATTAAATAAGAATTTCGCTTATAATTCCACGAAAATTGCGTAGTTTTCGATGCAGACGGAAGAAAAACAAAGCAGTACAGTTTTTTTTTGTTTTAGACAATAAATAAAAAAATTGAATAATGAAAAAATCAAATTTTCAGCTTTTTTTTTACCTGTTATGAAGTAAAAAAAAATCTAAGTATTTCTTCCTTGTAAAGGATTAGTTTTTTTTGCAAACTGAAAGGCGTAAAAAAAGTAAATCTCTTCACTCCGATCCCAACCGAGTTTTTTTGGGCTACTCTTTGCCGCAAAAAAATGAAAACCTCAAAGGCAAAAACGCTCATGATTTTTTTATCACTCTCGATATCATAAAAAAAATTGATACAATAAAGGTCGACTCAATCAAATTTTTTTTAGTAAAGAACAAGCCTAAAAAAATAAAATACAGCAGGACATTTTCGATGACATTTTTTTTGACATGAAGTGTCGCGGAAAAAAAGTCCAATGGGACAAAAATCACACAAAAATTTTTTTTTGATACCGAATAGAATTAAAAAAAAATTTTTTGACATTTAATACCGACAAGAATTTTTTTTTATTTTCTACTGGCATTTAAAAAAAAAATACAATATTAAAGAATTAACATAAGGATTTTTTTCAAATAGA